CATTTTATTTTTAATAACAGCGGAAACTTAAAAATACGCCGTCATTTTTGCTCATAAAGGTAATAGTATACATCATTCGGAACTGCAAAGGGTCTACTTGTATTTGTGTGCACTCACAATATCAACAAAACCTTGTGCTTTTGTAAAATAAGGAAAACAAACAGGATGCATTTTCTGTTGTCTTGGTTTTGAGCAGGAGCGCTTCACTGACATGATAAATATATCTATAGAATGCTTTGAATTACTATTTTAAAATGAAATAATTCAAATCGAAAACAAAAACTCTGTCATTATGTAATCCGTGCATTTTTCTCTAAAGGCATGTCCAATGAGGAGATGGCGAGTCAGGTTCATTCATTTTTGCAACACTGACTCAGAAAACATTAGCTTATTAACAAATAATTCAAATATCCCCTCACTATTTATTTTTTACTTTTTTTGTTTGTTTTTAATTAATTTTTTTGTTTGTTTTTTGGGCCGCTGTGCCAAAATTGTGTTTGCATTCAGTAGCCTGTATGGCTGCATTGTTGTGCCACGTTTAAAAATAACTAAATAAATAAGATTAACGTCATAATATTTTAAGAATGAAGTTAAAATTACGATAATAAAATCATGTTAATATTGTGTGAAGTTAATGTGAAAATTCCACCTATAGGCCTACTCCAAAAAAAAAAAAAAGTCTGTGGCATCTGTCATTCTTTGACGTTTTTTAAATCTCTGATTGATCGATTCATGAGACATTCGTTTGTATTAAATTGTTCTGATTTATTTCAACATGCATTCAAATATTCATGTTTAGTTCGTGCTGCAAATATTAAAGAGGAAAATATAATTGATTCATATGCAGCTTGAACTGAGGCGAATTATCTCACTACAAATTAAAGAGCGCAAAAAGACGTTTATTGTTTGTATGTTATCATAAAATTGACAGAAGGCTGAGACTTTGTAGTAACAAAGCTGCGATTATTGGGTGGCTTGCGTGCTACAAATAATAAATAGACTTGAAAACTTTAAACATCATTTCCAAGCATTAGCCTAGACCGTAAATAAAACTTGTGAATAATAAGCTTGTGATATAGTCATGTTTCACATAACGTTATTTACTTCAGAAAAATCAACAATAGGGCCTAAGTTAAGTTAACCGAGTTGGAGCCCATAACGTATGGGGGGGCCCGTACAAATTTTTTGCATATGGGCCTGGGGCTGACTCGCTACAGCACTGAGATGTAGCATAAACGTGAATCAGTCACTCACCGACAGCACTTGGGAGGCTAAGGACTTAACGTCCATCTTGTAAAACCTGGCAAAGGTATTCTGAGAAGACCAGCCGGCTGCAAAGCATTTATCTTGAATATACATACCTCTCGAACACGCCCAGGAGGAGGCGATACCCCTTATTGAGTGGGCCCTAATGTGCAAAGGGCATTCCAAACCTTGGCTCGTATAACAGCCGTGATAGCATCCACAATCCAGTGGGAAAGTCTCTGTTTTGACAGGGTTTTGAAAGTCCCTTCGCACAACCACCGTAGCACACGAAAAGCTGGTCAGATTGCCGAAAGCTGCCTGGTCGATATGAACGTCATGGCACCATTTCACAAACACTCCCCATTTTAAAGCATACAAACGCCTCGTGGTGGGCGCCCGCGCCTCCGAGAGCGTGACGAGCACACGAGAATGCAGGGTGCTCAGCTCCTCTGATATCCCCGAAGCAGCCACACATGAAGGCTCCATAACTCCGGGTTCGGGTGCCATACTGAGCCGCTCGCTTGAGGCAGCAGATCCTTCCTGATGGAGATCGGCCAGGGCGGCGCCACCAGCAGCTCTGTCAGGACCGGGAACCAAGGCTGGTTCAGCCAGTTCGGGGCGATGAGTATCACCGAAGCCCCCTCCTCCCTGATCTTGCATAACACCAGTGGCAATATATTGATCGGAGGAAACGCATACAGCCTGGCTGCTGGCCAGTGCGATGTCAGAGCGTCCCCTTCCAGCGGGGAGTGAGACAGGGAGAAGAACAGCGGGCAGCGCGCATTCTCGCTCGTGGCGAACAGATCCACCTCCGCTCTCCCGTAGCGGGTCCAAATCATCCGAACCGACTCGGGGTTCAACCTCCACTCTCCTTGAGGAATCCCCTTCCTCGAAAGCATGTCCGCCCCGCGGTTCAGGAGACCGGGGATGTGCGCTGCTCTGATGGAGAGAAAGTGACGGTCCGCCCATAGCAGGAGATTCGCTGCTTGCTTGTACAAAGCCCTGGAACGTACGCCTCCTTGGTGATTTATGTACGAGACCACAGACATGTTGCCGGTGCGAATCAGTACCTGTCGCTGTTCCAGCTGCGGCCGAAAATCCTTTAGAGCTAAGAACACTGCTTCCAGCTCCAAGCGGTTTATGTCTCGCTTGAGACAGCAGATCCTTCCTGATGGGGATTGGCCAGGGCGGCACTACCAGCAGCTCTGTCAGGTCCGGGAACCAAGGCTTGTTCGGCCAGTTCGGGGCGATGAGTATCACCGAAGCCCCCTCCTCCCTGATCTTGCATAACACCAGTGGCAATATCTTGATCGGAGGAAACGCATACAGCCTGGCTGCTGGCAAATGCGATGTCAGAGCGTCCCCTTGCAGCGGCGAGTGAGACAGAGAGAAGAACAGCGGGCAATTCGCATTCTCGCTTGTGGCGAACAGATCCACCTCCGCTCTCCCGTAGCGGGTCCAAATCATCCGAACCGATTCGGGGCGCAACCTCCACTCTCCTTGAGGAATCCCCTTCTTCGAAAGCATGTCCACCCCACGGTTCAGGAGACTGGGGATGTGCGCTGCTCTGATGGAGAGAAGATTCGCTGCTTGCTTGTACAGAGCCCTGGAGCGTACGCCTCCTTGGTGATTTATGTACGAGACCACAGACATGTTGTCGGTGCAAATCAGTACATGCCGCTGTTCCAGCTGCGGTCGAAAATCCTTTAGAGCTAAGAACACTGCTTCCAGCTCCAAGCGGTTTATGTGCCACCGGCTCTGGGGTTCTGACCACAGCCCCGAAGCCGGCATGCCCTCGCACACTGCTCCCCAGCCGCGAGTCGATGCGTCCGTCGTGACCACAACGCGCGACGTCACCAAGCCCAGGGGAACCCCCCGGCTGAAGAGATCTGGGTTGCGCCACGGCTTCAGAGCTTCAATCGCGGGAGACCGTGATGCGCAAACGGCCTGAAGTCCACGCCGTCCAAGGGACTCGAGATTTCAGCCATAGTTGCAGCAGGCGCATGTGTAGTAAGCCCAGATGACATACCGCAGAAGCAGACGCCATGAGTCCCAGCAGCCTCTGAAATTCCTTCAAGAGAACAGAGTTGCCCAGTCTGAAATGGCGCAGGGAAGACAAAATGGCCGCCGAGCGCTCCCGAGAGAGGCGGGCTCGCATCTCCACTGAGTCGAAGCACACTCCCAGATATGTTATAGACTGACTCTTCTGCATGTTGACACATAGCCCTAGGCACTCCAAGTGACGAACAAGTGTGTCTATATGGCTGACTAGCGTGTCCCGGGACTGAGCTAAAATCAGCCAATCGTCCAGATAGTTGAGAACGCGCATCCCACTCGCTCTGAGGGGGGAAAGTGCTGCATCCATGCACTTCGAGAAAGTGCTTGGGGCCAAAGCCAGCCCGAACGGGAGAACAGAGTATTGGTACGCTGTGCCCTCGAAAGCAAACCTCAGAATGCGTCTGTTATGCGGTGCTATCTGAATGTGAGAGTATGCGTCCTTTAAGTCCACGGACGCAAACCAGTCCCCGGGGCGAATTTGCGCCAGGATTTGTTTCAGCGTTATCATCCTGAACAGACGCTTGCAAAGCGCTCTGTTGATGGGCCTGAGATCTAGAATCGGGCGGAGTCCCCCGTCTCTTTTGGGTACCATGAAATAGCGGCTGTAAAACCCGCTCTCCAGCTCGCTGGGAGGGACTCGTTCTATCAGAATCGGGTGGAGTCCCCCGTCTCTTTTGGGTACCACGAAATAGCGGCTATAAAACCCGCTCTCTAGCTCGCTCGGAGGTACTCTCTCTATCGCCCCTTTTTCGAGCAGACTTCATACCTCTTGTCTCAGAACCAGGGCATTTCGAGGCAATGTTAGAGACTGCACCACACCAACGGGGTGGTCTGCGTCTGACTTGAATGGTATACCCACGCTCTATCACACCGAGTAGCCAGTGCGAGATTCCCGGAATAACTTCCCACGCGTTCAGGAACTGACATAGCGGCTTTAGCTGCTTGGTAGTTGGATGCGCCGGCAAGTGCTGCGCAGCTATAACCTGTGTGGGCGGCGGCTCTGCACTGCTCTGAGGCGGGACGAGCAGCACCGCATTGACTGAGGAGGAAAGAGCTCTTTTTGTGAGAATGTATGCGTTTTTGTTGAATGTACATCCAACACACAAACATTTAAACACATGAACTTGCGGCGCTTGGGAGCTGGGCCGCTTGCGCACTCTACTCCTCTCTTCAGACCATCAGGATGACGGCTTAGTAGCCAGCAAGTCACGTCGCTGGCTTCTCCGCTGGCCGTGGCATTTCCTCCCGGGATCCCACGCCTTCCTCCAGACATCTGGCTCCTGGCGAGGAGCAGTAGCAGTCACCACCGCGGTCGCTGGCCTGGGGTTATCCCTCCGTTGGGAAGAGCCAGGTGCCGACGAGGATCTGGATCTCGCCGTCTGCTGCTGGAAAGCGTGCCTCGGCATCACGTGACTCAGGGCTTGGGCGCGCTTTTGAGCCTCCGTGAAGCGATCAGTAATGGACTCCACAGCGTCACCAAAGAGGCCGGAGGGAGTCACAGGAGCGTTCAGCAGCACTTTACGGTCAGCATCCTTGAGGTCAGCCAGGTTTAACCATAGGTGCCTCTGAAGGACGACCATAAAACCCATGGACTTACCCACGGCCTGGGCCACTCACTTCGTCGCCATCAGCGCAAAGTCCGTCGCCGCGCGCAGATCCTTAATGGCCTCCGCCGTGAGGGCTTCGTCCTCCGCTGCCTGCAGGAGCTTCGCCTGAAAAACCTGCAGCATCGCCATGGCGTGCAGCGTGGAAGCCGCCTCGCCATCAGACGCATAAGCTTTATTGGCGAGGTGGGCGGTGGTCCTGCATGGCTTCGAGGGGAGGCTGATGTCCGAGCCTAGGGTCTTGGCTGCTGCAGGACACAGGTGCGCAGCGACAGTCTCCTCGACGGGGGGAGAGCGCACGTACCTGTGGGCCTCCGGCCCATCCACGTGGGAAAAGATGGCCTGTGTGGCAGAGTGGACGTGTGCTGAATGGGGCGCAGACCATGTTTTCACCAGCTGCTCATGTACATCGGGGAAGAAGGGGACCGACGCCCTCGAGTCAGCTTTCCTGGTGGACCTGCAATACCAGGAGTCGAGCTTACTCCTGGCAGGCTCCTCTGGAGGACTCCAGGTAAGCTCCAACTCCTGGACAGCCTTCGACAGAACCCTCATGAGCTCCTCCTGGAGGTCTGGGAGCCCCATGCTGTCCGGCTGATCAGACTCCGATCCCGCCCAATCCTCCCTCTCCGAGGCCGAGATGGACATTGTGTCATCCCCCTCCTCCTGGCCAAAGGACACAAACTCCGCGATGTTGGAAGGAGGGCGGAAGCAGTCCTCGGGGAGGGAGACCGGGGAACGGGGCGACCGTTGGGGTTGGCGGAGCTGCAAGACGACGCTCCCGTCACCGGGAGGGGAGGGCCCACCAGCAGCACGCTGGCAGCAGTGGGCCTCATCCCGAATAGGCCGCGAGCCACATCGAGGCGGGTCCGGAGCACGCGGGCCGGAGGGTCCGCGCAATGCCCGCAGTCAGACTCATCCAGCGCCGCCTCGGCGTGGGCCAGGCCCAGGCAGGCGACGCAGTGGTCGTGTTGATCCGGCGGCTCTATTGGTCCCGCGGAGATCTTGCAGATTGTTGCCATAATGAATTCAGTAGGTGAAGTAGAAGATTCTGATGTAATTGTCGCGTGCACCGCATTTTATACTGCCTCTCGAACTCGTCAGTATTTACATGCAATTTGCATACTTCGCGACAATTGGCCAGTCATTTGGACTGGCGTGAGCCAACAGGACTTCAGGAAAGGTTGGAAGGGAAGGAGTTCCCATAATGGGGAAATGTCTCTGTGATGTCTCGTGAAAGCTCGAGAGGGAACGGCAGGTGCTCAAGCCCCCTTTGATGTCTATTATGTGTGCACGTGCCTGCTGCCAGAAGCTGTACTGTGGTACTTATCAGCCACTCTCATGGACACAATGGCGATAACATTCACCATAATGTGTTGTAAATGGCTGTGTGGATATGAGACGTAACCCTTTGTTTAAACAATGTATGAAAGAACCAATTCACAACACTTCTCTCAATAGGAAGGCTGCAACCAATGAGTGCAACACAGATTGGTGTTCATATTTAATTTTACATCCTTGTTCAATAGTAGCCTTAAATGACCTCTTGTGAGAGGTTATTAAAAATATTAAATATAAATGTTAAATATGAATCAAAATCTTTAAATGTAAAAATGTTTCATGTAAATCATTTAAAATTATTCACCCAAACATTTAAATTCATCAGGGTCATAAATTCAGACAGGATTGGAACAGAAGTGATGACAAAATAAAAAAATTGGGGTAAATCCAGAGACAAAAAGGGAACCAATTTTTAACCAAACCTTTAAACCTAATTTATAATGAGTTGCATCTGATCCCTAAAATAATAACACAGTATGATCTCAGTTAAATACGTAATATTTTAATTGTCATGGGTACAGATACTCACCACAGACAAAAACTAAATACAATTGAGCGCTGTATGTATTCATGTTCTGCCACAACACTATAAATAGCATTAAAATCAAATATCTTAACACAAGTATAAATATTATTCCAAAAACACCACTCTTCCTTTCAAAAGGGTTTAACACACCTGGTTTTCAGGTGATTATATGAGTAATGTAAATGATTAAAGTCCACATTCATGATGGTTGATGCCTGAGAATCAGCATTGTAGACACACACACACTTTGGTTATAAACACCAATGAAATAACTGTTCAAGTGTCTCAGGACTCTTGATGGTATAAAACAGTAAAATATTTTTTCACTTTGTAAACCTTGATGTAAAGGCTCAATATATAAATACAAAAATTTAAAACTGACAAATCTGGTGTGTACAGGTAAGGCAGAATGCGTGTAAGTGCATGTTGGCAGATCCTTAATGGAAAAAAAGAAGTGTGTGACCTGATCACAGCAGATGAACAAATATGACAAGTACTGTTGTACTCAAATTCAAGTTACAGAATGCTAGATATAAAAGGTCAACTGATCACTCTTTAGTTGTCAGGCAGGATTGGCTGAAGTAAATTAGCGGAATTACAAGTCTGCACATATCAAATGCATGTGAATTGTAAAAAGTTGTGCATTATGTGTGCAGTCAGAATAAACAGGTTGCACAGGTATAACTTAACAATAACTGCATAACCATCATATTTGTGATACATGTGCTGATTTATATGATGTCATCCTTTTGTAGGAGCCTGAGTTGTAAATTTTTTGACAGTGACTATATGTGGCTTGTATAACATTGGAGATGGACATGAATATCTAAACCCATTTCAATTCATTTTCCTGATAAGATTGTGAACATCAAAAACAGTAATTATCAAATCATTTTCTGCCTTGTCTTGAGGACACACAATTATATTTCTATTTATTTACAAGGATTCCATGACAGTAAACATTCTGTCTGCAACATGGGAAAAAATAATAATTTATAAAGACAGTTGTAGTAACAACATCTACTAATACATGCTCCAAAATGCATTTAAAAATTGAATGAAAGAGATAGTGACACTGAGAGTACAATAATCTAGTTAGCACAGTCTCTCCAAAAGGGCAAGGCCTGTAGGCCAGGTCCCATTACATAATGCCATGTGCACAGTTCATGCTGGCCAGGTCAAGGTCAAGCTTTATTTTTAAGGGCAGTGGTGCCGGATCTGGCTGGATGAACATCAATGGCACTGGCTGTAGCAAGGATTCTTAGCAGTTCAGCTCAGCTGCTCCAGGTAGGCAGAGAGCAGAGGCTGAGGAGGGAGAAACTCTTCCTGTTTGTTGACCACCTCTGTCTGTC